CTCTGCCTGGTGGCACAAGGAAAAGCTTTGCCCTGGAGGTCGTGGCCCCAGCTGTGCCCTGTCCTGGAGAGGCAGAGGTGACAGGAGGAAGTGTCCCTGTCACTCAGTGCTCAGATTAAATCTGGTTGAACTGGATTTAGTCAGGGCTGGACTCTGCCTTGCTCCCTGACCTGTTCCTCCCCTAAAAACAAACCAACTCCCTTCTCAAACTGCAGCACTGGGAGGGTGGCAAGGAGTGGAACACTGCTGCAGATAAGCTTTTCCATCCCTGCACCGCACTACCTTGTCACTTGGTTTGCTCTTTGAGTAAGAGGAGAACATCAATATTCATCAATACTTGAGCCACTGGGAGCCTTTAAGGTCTGCTTTGGTTTGCAGAGTGAGTGTGAGCACAGAGCATCCCTGAGGCTCTTCCATGCCCTGCCTGAGCACAGGGAACAGTTGCAGTAATGGCACTGTGGGGAGCATTTGTTACATCGATTGCTGTCACTCCTTCCATGCCTGTAATTCTTTACATCTCATCTGAAAACCTTCAGTCAGCACCACGGGATTCTGCCTGTTCAGCTTGGCAAGATAAAGGCCCAAGGATCTGGGCTGATACAGCCAGACCCTTTTCATGTGTGGAACATCAAACCCCTCCTGTCTGTATCCTCTGTTCCTTTATCCCAGACCTGCAGAACTGCTGCAGGTTTTTCACTTGAATTGCTTTGTTAGTTCACCTTAAACCATTTCCTCTCAAAACAGTAATCCTTAAAGGATTATTATTAATTACTCATTTTGGAATGAGCTTACTGCTCATTAAACATACAAAATTGATTGTTATCTGCTGGTTTGAGGCAATGGCTTTGCATCATGCTGGGTTGCTCATGCAGTTTTCTCAGCAGGTTTGGTTTTCATTGTTAGAACTCAAGACATATTTCAAGATTACTGAGTTCAGAACATACCCTCTCTTTCATTTTCATTTTCCCCCCAGTCTATTTATTGGCTGGAACATTATCCTTCTAGACTTTGCAGAGTGCAGATTTCCCACTTGGGGGAGTGGGGATTTCCTTGGTGCTGCAGTCAGATGGCTCCAGTCGTTGTCTTTGGTGAAAAGTATTCTGTGAGGTGCTTCTAAAACATCTTTATCCCTCTTCATCCAAACTTCTTATACCACTTCTGGTAAAGATGTCAGAGCTGGGAGAAATTCCCTTGAGAGTTTTGGGTAAATTAAGAAATGGTCTTCTGGTGTTCTGCCCTTTCCTTTTGTTCTATTTTTGCAGGCAGAGGCTGAGCTGTACTACATTACTCATCAGATGCACTTTATTCTTTTTCTACAGTTATTTGATCTAGTTTGGGAAACTTGTAGTGGGCTCCTTTTAACTGGTTAATATTTGAAACAATTTTGTAGAAATCTTTGGGACCAAGGATTTCTAGAATTCTCAGATCTGTGCTGTATGAGAAGGGTTTTGTGCCCTTTTAATGTTTCTTTGCTTGTCTGGCTTTTTGTTAGTCTTGCAATAAAATTCAGTACTCCATTGCTAAGGTAAATCCACTCAGGTTCTCATGTCAGGACTCAGGTTAATTTTTATGCAGCTGTAGAGACAAACATTTCACAATTTAAATGGATTTTTTTCCTTCCCTTAGCTTGTGCAGCCACTCAAACAAATGTTTGATTCCTTATACTCTCTGGGGTTTTGGTTTTTTTTGGAAAAACGGTCTCATTTGAATGAAATCACTACTCAGGGGAAGAGAAAGGGAGGAGGTGGCTTCCAAGCTAAGCTCACTCTTGCAGACACTGGGATAAGCAGATTTTGGGGGTTTTTCCCTTTCCCAAGGCTGCACTCGAGCATGGGCACTGGGAGTTGCCAGGAATTTCAGTGTGGCTGTGATAAACCAGGCTGGCTTCTCAATGAGCAGCTGATCTGTGTTACTGCCTTGGAACACTCCCATTCTCATTTGAACTTCCTTTCTTATTTAATGTTTCTTTAAAAATAGCTTTATTTGTTTTCATAGAACACTGTAGAGCTGTGTTCTGGAGGGTGTGTGCTCTGCTCTCCCTGTGCCATGTCTTACAATTAACAAGGTCCTTTTTGCCACCTTTTCAGAAGTTTTTTGAATTCAGTTCAGTTTGTAGAGGGTTACATGCAAGTGAGAAATTCTATGTTCCTTGCTGCATGAGAGGTGTGGCACTTTTCCTCTGATCCTAATCTCTACAATTGAAAACCTGAAATTCAGTGAAATTTGATATATGGTGAGGTTTTTGAATACTTCAGTGGATGATGGTAGAATTGGAAATTAGCCCTAATTGCAGGCAGTTTGAAATTAGTAATATTGCCAATATTTCTTGTAATAAAGTTTTTTAGACTGGTTTTAAGAAGAATTTGCAATAAAACCCCAAAGCTTCTCAGTACAGAATGACTATAACCTTGTTAAATAACAAATAACCTGTTATTGCAAAGAAGTCAACATGTAATATTTGCTTTACTCTGATGGTGATGAGGATTAGACACTGAAGAGATCCTGGAATTTTATGGCCTGAATTCAAAGACAAGGCAATGACAAGCAACAATTATTCTATGATTAACCCCTGCATGACAAATCATGTCAGATTTCAGAGTATTTTTATAATATGTCAAGTTGAGAGTTTACTGCCAGCACAGCTCTGTTCTGGCAGAGAAAATCAAAGCCAGGAGTGACTCCTGCAGGAGCCCCCAGCACAGTGGGGACCCTCAGAAGAGAATCCATGGACTGAGGGAGAATCCAGAGCTGGCTGCTCCCGAGGAGGGGCTGGAGCATCAAGCACAGACACAAAATGGGCCTCTCGGGCAAACACTTACAGAGCAGAATTCCTTAGCTCCAGAGCTCTGGAGCCAAAGTTTCTTGGCATTCTGAGTGCATTCCTTCTGCAGTGTGTGCTCAGAATAACTTGGGGCTTTTTGGAGCAGAAGTGGGACAAACGTTTGCAGACAGAACAGTCTGGGCTCCGTTCAGGCTGCTGGGCTTTGTGCATAGCACTGACGGTTACTGGGCTCTAATCCCCTCCTCTGACTCAGATAATCCAAACAGCCTGTCCTAAACTAAAGCAGATGCTGCTGGTTGCTTGTTCACTTTGGATGTTGCACTTGAGTTGGGAGAGAAGGAAAGTTTAGGGTTAAGAAAATGCATTTGACCTTTTTTGGTCAGTTTGATTTTGGTTTAGGAGGATGCACCTTAATGAAAGCCACAGGTCAGCCTGAAAATTTAAACAACTTTTTGTGCAGTTCTATGATTTTAAAGTAGCTTTGGTTTGGATTCCAGTGGGCCAAGTAAAGTTTAATGGGATGGGGATTTCAGCCTGTGCTGTTGCTGCAGTGTAACTCGGGCTTTGCTTGACGTTTGAGGACTCAGATCAGTTCTGAGTCAAAGAGTTATTTCTGCTTCAAAGCATGAATTACCCTGGGCAGTAAAAAATATCTATTTTCCTTAGATGGGATGCTGTGTTGTGTTTTCCAGTCCCTTTTTTTCCAAAGGTAGATCAGACCTGACATGTGGCAACAGAAAAAGCAGATGAATATAAATCTATAATTTACCTGTAGGAAATGTCAGTTCCAGTGTAAACACGGTGGAGGGGAGGGAATAGCTGAAATACAGCCTGCTGTGTGCAGGGACAGTGATGGAGTTAAATATTAACATAATATCCTTTTTCTAGATTCTTCTAGAATTCAGTCTCCTGAGCAAACACATGGCAGAGTTTAAGACAATCCATCAATAATAATCTGCTGCAAGTTTGACTCTACTATCCAAAGATGAAGCTGGCAATTTGTAATTTATGGCAGAATAACAACTTCCTTTTTCTGTCAAGTCTTCATTAATGACACTAATAAAGGTTTGAAGAAAACTGACTCTATCTACAATGAGGTCTTTGGAAGCTCTGACAGGAGGGACACTTGCAGGAATGAGTTCATTAGCTGTAGGAACAATAATTAATTTAAAAATCTTAAGCAGCTGTTAAAGAGACTCAGCTTTATCTGCAATTAAAGATGACTTTACAAAACCCAAAACAGCTTTCCGAATTTAAGACAGTTTCACTGAAAAACTGTCTTTTCCTGGCCTTTGAAAATCCTGCTGTTATTCTTCCTAACTTGCTAAGTCTTTCTGAATTCTCCTCACTGTGATGATGAAAGAGTTGGCCAAGCTTTGAGAATTGCATGGATGAAAATCCCTCTTGGAAGGATTGTAATAATAACAATAATAAGCAAAATCCATTGAAACCCATCTAACATAAAGTACATGTCAGAATAATCGGACAAATTTGGCAGGTTTAAGAACTGAGCGAGTTCTCAGAGGATTCAATTTTATAACAAAGGTTTCCAGTGCCTCATTCTAGCCCAGAAAAAACCTAAAATTTTCCAAGTCAGCAATGCATCCTTCATTGTCAGAGTGATGATGAGATGTGTGCTATCACTGGGAGCTCACTGCTGCTTTCTAATGGGCCTTTGTTGTGCTGGGACAAAGACTGATTGATAAATTGCCTATAAAAAGTGGCTTTGGGATATTATTTAATTGTCAGTGAAGTCTCTATGTACTCACAGTTATGTCTTTCCTCACAACACCTGCAGTACAATCAATTCTCAGTTCCTGGCTGCAGTTGGCTCCCTGGAGCACTGCACAGGCAGAGATAGAGGCACTGAACTGGGAGATGACTCCAATTAATTAGCTATGCCTTGGAGAAGAAAGAGAAAAGAGTAATAAAGAGCAGAGAACAGCAGTGCCATTGGAAAGCTGCCATCAGAAGGTGTGGCTGCTCAGAGGGGGATGTTCAGCTGCCAGGGGCAGCTGCAGCACTGGCAGTGTCACAGATAACTGAAATATTGCTCCGTAGGTTTTTTGAGCAGCTAGAGGACATGACAAGTAAAAACTTGACAAATGTAGCAATTTCAGTTGTACTGAGTGTGTGTTTAATCAAAGCTGTTGCAGTGCCTGTGAGATGAGCAGATGGCACAGCCCTGCCCACATTAATGCTCTGTTCTGTCCTGCAGGCTGGCAGTGATGGTGAGAGCATAGGAAATTGTCCCTTCTCCCAGAGGCTCTTCATGATCCTGTGGCTGAAGGGAGTCGTGTTCAGTGTCACAACAGTGGACCTGAAGAGGTAAGAAATACTTGATTTATTGGACCAGCAGAACTTCAGCACCCTTGGAGAAAGAAAGCTTTGGCCAGAGCTTTTTATGCCTTACAGGCTGGTTTTGTGAAATTAAAATGTGTCCTAATCATTAACTGAGGCAACCTGGATGCAAATGGTGCTTTCATTGATGATCTAACTAAAAATAATGGTAAGTTCTCTTGAATTTGTTCAGTGATTCTTTGTAAAACTCACACAAGTCTTTTGTAACTGAACATTGACTCTTCCTTTACTGACTTCACATCAAGATGCCCTAAGTGGGGACAGATGGATATCTTTAGTCAACCACCTTCTTGTCAAATCTCCAGTGGTGGATAATTGTCACAAACAATGTGCAGCCTCCTTATTTTCTTAACATTTTTAAGATTATTTTGGTTATTGTGCAATAATAATGAAAATACCTGCCCATGAGGTAAATCCAAGTGAAGTGGGTAGGAATAAAATGTAGAATATTCTGTCTTTGTTCTGTGTCAGCCAGATTAGCCATGGTGCTGTCACCTAAATTGCAACTGCTCCTCTATGAAATGAGTACCTTGGTGGCTAAAAACAGTGAGAAGAGAATCCAGGAGTCTTAATTTCCTCAGGCTGGGCATTCTTTATTATGAAAGGGCTAAATTCAGCAGGGGCCTTGTGTTTGCTTTGGGTGTGAAGTCATGTTTTCCCAGCACTGATGGAAAACTCTGTTGGTCACAGCTCTGCAGAGGGGAGGCTGCCGGTGCCTCCAAACCTGAATTTCAGGAATAAAGCCAACAGAAACACAGTGTTCTGCACTGAATCCAACATAGAAGGGAGAAATCACCCTGCTGCTGCACTTAACCTCTTGGGAGTTTTTTGAGGGAGGTGACTTGTTTGGGTTTTAAAATTCACTGAAGTTGCTGCTTCAGTGCTGGCAAGGAGTGTTAAAGGCTTCCATGTGTGGTGAGGGGCAGAAAGCAGCTTTTGTCAGCTCTGGGTGCCTTTGGAACTGCTCAAAGAGCTTTTCTGGGCAGTGTGGGATTTCCCTGCAAATACTGGTGCTGCCAGCCCCATAAACCAAACGTGTCACATCTTCCACCGAGCCCTGCCCGTGGTTTGTGCAAGCTCAGGAGCAGAACTGGTGCTTGTGGCTCTTGGTAGTTTGGGATTTCCTTTTCTTTTAATTATGGGGTTGTTTAACCTATTGCAGTTATTGGGGGGGGGGCAGGAGGAGGAGGTGGACAGAGATATTTTAGGTTTGAAAGGCTTTTTATTGCTGAACCAGTTTAGATATCATTAAAATGCCAAATATTCCTGATGAATTGGTTTTATTTTGTGTCCCCCTGGCAACTTGCAGTTAACTGGATGGGGGAATGGGATGTAAGACTAACTTTTAGCCTATAAATTGGTTGCAGATGTTTAAAGTTGACCTTTGTTAAACAAGGAAAGCTTTCTTTCAGGTTTTTTTTTTTTTTTTTTTTTTTTCCTGTTGAGGAGGGGAAAACACAAAATAAGCGCAAAATTAAAGATCTGCAGGGGAGTAGGTCAAATAAACCACCTTTGTGTTGTGCACTGAAGGGGTTCTCTGGGAAAGGAAACAAAAGACCACTGAAGCTAGTTCAGGTTGGAATAGATATTGATACAAACTTAATTCCTTCTAGACTTTATTTAGATGTCATTAAATACAACTTGAACACTGTGGACTGATCAATACCCAGTGGCAGAGCAGTGCAGCTTGCAGAACATCACATCCAGCCAAGTGCTTAATAGGAAATGTTTGATATCACGTGGGGCTGTTTCCCCTTGTTATCACTGTCAGAATGATAATAGATGTTAGGTGGTGCCTTAATGTTGCTACAAGAAACTGCTTTTGTGAGCACTTTATTCAAGCCAATTATCTCCTCTGCTCCTTGTTCCTGTTAGACACAAACTCAAAGAGCAGAGCAGGAATTGTTTAAAAAAACTGAATTTATTTTGTTGGCCAAAACCAGAAGAAAGGCTTTGCTTGCCTGTGCCTCATAACGTCAGTGCTGCACAGCAGCAAGGCCAGTTCTGTCTGTTTGTGAGGCTGAAAAGGTCATGGTTGGGTACAAAAGTTCACAAGTGAGGGACATGGGACACAGGAAAATCTGAGCCTGCCTTGCCTGACTCTGCCTGTGCTTTCCCCTCCAGAACTGCCCTGTGCTAACAAAGGCACATTCTGCACTGCTCCCCTCTGCTCTCAACGCACAAAATATGCACATAGGCAAAGAGGAGGCCAGTCCCACCCTCTGCAAGGAGTCAGGCATTTCTTCCCTCTCTTTGGGCACACAGAGGCTTCATTCTTCCCTTCTGGGCAGCAGCATTTTGGTGCCCAGAGCTCTGGCTTGTTCTGGAGGCCAGAGCAGAGCTGCACTGCACAAACCATTTGTTGGGCTTGGAACAGCACTCAGAGCCAGCTTGCCTTCAGCTGAGCACTGAAATCCTGTTAGAAGCATCTTCATTTGGAGCTTTTACAGTTCTTTTGTCAGGCAAAGCTTAAATAACGATATGAAATATTCAAAATAAATATTGAATACCACCCAGAGGTGAATCCAACTTCAGCAGTGTGAAATACTTCTGAGGAACTGGGGTTTAGTGCTGGCTTTTCCCCTGCTGCTCTTCAGATCCTCATTGCAGTATTTTTGTAATTTATAAAAGTGTTCCATTTAGGGGCTGGATTTTGTCTGCTCTACAAGAAATAATTTGCATGCTAATTACTATTCTGGTTTGTGGCAAAGCCATGAGGTGTTTACACCTTAACTCTGGGGGTAGTGATGGCCAGATAATTAATGTGGCCCTGCCTCCAAAACCCCTGGTAAACTTTGGGGTAGGCACAAACCATCTTGGAATTACTTGGAGTGGTTACAGAAAGGTTTTTTGTTTGGGTTTGGTTTCTAAGCTCTCCAGCTTTATCTCTGAAGTAAAACTGTTACAGTAATTGCCTCCTTGTTTGACTGTTAAGGGAATTTGTACTCTGAGCCTTTTAAGGCTGTTCCTGTGTGCTTGTGCTCCAAGGGCTTGGTTAGGATCTCCTGGCAGCAAACTGGAAATCAAACTCTGAGTTATGCTTGGGCCTGGGCTGTGGGATCTTCATCTCTGCTTTCTTTCTCTTGATGAAAGATCCAGGTGGTCTGCCTGGATGGATAAAGTACTCCGAGATGCACTCTGGTTCTTTGGAAAACTTTTTTGGGTAGTTGTTTGGAATAATCTGTTTCTGAACTAAAGCTTGCCTTTGATAGTATTCCTGCGGATCCTGTGGTCTTGTCCCTGTTTGTTTTTAAAATAACATTCCTTTTGAGGAATTTTATCTGGCCAACATGGGGAACTGGAAGGGAGCCACGATGACTTCCTGTAATTGTTGGGAGTTACAAAGCTGTATTTAAATGAAGTGTTAAGCTACTTAAAGCATTACCCAATGACAGACTTTAAATCCTAAAAGTGAGAGACTGGTGGCAGCTCTTAGTGAGATATAACTTCTCAGAAGCTTGAAAATTGAAAATCATTAAATTCCTGTATTCATAAGGTTTCCATCCCCTGGCTTAAAGCAGGGTAAAGTATAAAAATCACTTTTCTTATTCAGTCTTACAAGTAAGCACCCTTGGCTTTATAAAAGGGGCAGCAGTGGGCAGGACATGAAATTCTGACTGGGGTTCTTAATTTTGTAAGAGATGGAAAACAAGATCGATTGTCAGCTGGGCTCAGTTTAGGGTCCAGCTGCTCTCCCTGAAGGTGCTGCTCTCTCATGCTGCCCTGCAGGACTGGGGCTGTGCATGTCACCAGCTCAGTTTCCCTGTCTGGTGTTGTCAGGAGGATTTCTTGCACTGCAGTTGCAGTTTCCAGGAAATCCAGTTCCTGCATGCCTGGAGCTGGCTCAGGAACGTGGCCACACTGGACAGGGCTCAGTCCCAGTTCAGGGTTATGGTCCAGCCTGGATTTGTTCAGCAGGAACCAAGGGGCAGCTTTACCTTGGCAGAGTTTTCAGCTGGGCCAGTTTGTTGTGGCTGGGCCAGCAGGATGTGGTGGCTCTGCTCTGCTCTACCTGAGAGAAATGTTACTTAGAAATAAAACTAGAAATGGCTGAGTATTTCAGCTTTTTGCTGTTTCTCTCATGTCTAATCCTAATGTGGGATTCCTCTCCCAGGTGTGCTGCTCTTGTTTGTAAATTCCTTTTTTCACTGGAGGAAACTGAGGCATCATTTTAAACACAATGTTCAAGCATCTGTCAGCCTGCCTGGACCCAAACTCCCTGGGCACGTAATAAATGCTTTATACACTGGGCTGGAGCAAAGTTGCTTCTTTCCAGAGCAGCTCTGTGTGAGGGGGGAGGGTTAGCACAGATTATGCTATATATAAACTCTTCTGTAGGGCTGGGGAAAGAGGGAGAATGTGTGGTGTGTGTACAGGTATCCCTCTTCTAGTCAACACTGTATTGATTTGAGAATAAACACAGCCAGAGGTAGGAGGAAATTATTTTTAACTGTTTTAAATTAATTGTTAGCAAGTGTATTCAAAATGTTTAGTTGTAAACTCTCATTTTAGAAAGTAAACTGGTGGTGTCTATTTAAAACTGAGGCTGTGGAAACCTCAGCAGTGCTTTTGTGGTCGAAGCAATGAAATTTTGTGCCCTGCTTGCTCCTCATGGGTTTGCATCTCACCCAGGAAACCAGCAGACCTTCAGAATCTGGCTCCAGGCACTCACCCACCCTTCATCACATACAATGGGGAAGTGAGAACAGACGTGAACAAGATTGAAGAGTTCCTGGAAGATGTTCTGGCCCCACCCAAGTAAGTGTTAAACTGATGCTTTGTCACCTCAGACAGGCACGGTTCTCACAGGGGATTGCTGCCCTAAGTAAGGTGTTCTTCAGCATCAATAAACTGAAGACATGGAGGATAGTTCTTGCTTGTCATACCTTCCTCCCCTCAGCTCCCCCATCTTTAGATCAAAAACTGTTTTCTCTCTAGGATTATTTTTAAATTATCCTTTGTATACCCTGGTCATCCTTTCTGCACTTTCAAACTCTTCCTTTTGGTGACAGGCACATTTGTGTTCAAATAATGCAAATGAAGATGAGTCTGCTGTACAAAACTTAGGCCTAACCTATAGTGGGACTGTTTTTTAATGTGTTCAAACTTTCTCCAGACTCTTGGCTTTCTACTCTTCAGCTGGCAGGCAGATCCACACACTGTCTTTGACAGTTTTGTCTTTTCAGCATAGCAAAACTTCAGGCTTTTTTTGAAATATGTGGAGTCCATAATTCTCTGATGTTAATTGAAATGGAAAACCCTATATTTTGCTTACAGATGTGTGTGTGCCCCCTTGGCAGCACTGGATTAAGGGAGCTCTGGTGCCCCTGGGCTCCTCAGACACTCTGCTTGTACCAAGTGTCTCATTCAGAAAGCAGCAATGTGCTTTGGTGTCCCTCTGGAAAGTGCTGGGTTTAAAAACCTTACTGTGTTTACTACTAAGTGTGTTTAGTGTGTTTACTACTACTATACTACACTTCAGGAGCCAGTCTGGAAAAGGATAAATCAGTAACAAAGTCCCATTTTGTGCTAGTTCATAGATAATGAGCACCATTCTGCTGAAAGTGCTGTAGATCTGCTCCTTGCTGCTTTTCAGGTACCTGAAACTCTCACCAAAGCATCCAGAATCCAACACTGCTGGAATGGACATATTTGCCAAATTTTCTGCTTTTATCAAGAACTCTAGACCAGAAGCTAATGAAGGTGGGTCACTGGGGGGACAGTGCACTCCTGCTTTCAATCAGAATTTCAGTGGGGTGTGCATGGTTCATAAATATCCCCTGCATTGGATCTTCTCTGTGCAGCAGCCACTTAAAACTCTTGAATGAAGGATAAGTATTTCAACATCCAGAAGCAAATTTCAGACAGAGTTTGTGTCATGCCCCAATGGTTGGATTTCTGTGCATCTGCTGCTCTTATTTCACCTCTCTAGGACTGAAGGCTTCCATTCAGAGTTCTGAGCTAAGCTTAGTTCGTGTCACTTCCATTAAAGGATTAAAACCTTTCTGTGTGGAGGGAAAACAGGAGATTTCACATGAGGGATCAATAAGGGGTAAAGAAGTCACAGCTGGGCCTTTAAGTAGTTCAGTACAAATCAATTTTGTCCTCAAAGTACTTAGAGAGAAAACCAAATTCAGGGAATCAGGGTTCCTTTCTGCTGCATTTCAAAGGGAGAGATGCAAAATATTTGTAAATAGTTGGGAAATAAACGGGGATTTTTATGGGGTGTGCTGCCCTCTGCTGCTGCATTCCATAAACCTGCTGTTGCTTTCCATATCCTGCTGTGCTCCAGCTCCAGCCTGGGTGCTCTGGGTTGGTCAGGGCTGTTTGCTGAGCATGTGACATTAAACAGATTATGTTTAAATGTATATAAACCCCAGCATAGCTTAATTCTAATCAGTTTAAGCCAGTTAGGCACAGTCTTAAGAAACTGACATAAGCCACTTTTTAAACCAAAAATAAACCCTTGTGGGCAGTCTTACAGTATTTTAAATTAGTGCAAGCTCCTATATTAGCCCGCTTTTAAATAAACTGCATATGTGGGATATTTAAAGAGATTCTGGTCCAGTTTCAGTGTTCTGGTGAGCACAGAGGCAAAAAAACTGACCAAGAGTTACAAATCCTTCAGGGCCGTGGCGTTTGTATTTCAGATCTGGTACCAGTCTCAGTTTAATATTTGTTTTGGATCATTCCTTCCTGTGCAGCCTTAGAACGTGGCCTCTTGAAAACCCTGCAGAAGCTGGATGAGTACCTGAACTCCCCTCTGCCCGACGAGATCGATGAGAACAGCCTGGAGGATGTCACAGTCTCCACCCGCAAGTTCCTGGATGGCAACGAGATGACCTTGGCCGACTGCAACCTGCTGCCCAAACTGCACATTGTCAAGGTAAAACCTGGGGAGTGGCAAGGGAAAATGCAGGAGAAAATATCTGTGGTTTGTGCCATTCCTGAGCCCAGCTAACTGCAGCTGTTTGTAAGCTTAAGTGCGCTGTTAGCAGCTGAATTTGTGCAGGGTTTGAGTCATTCACAAGGGCTCTGAGCAGTGGAGTTCAGTGCAGGTGTGAAACTGGGGCAGGCTGGGCAGCAGAGGATGGGAATGGCAGGGGCCAAACCCCATTTCCCTGCACTGACCTCGTGGTCTCTGAGAGCTGCAGAGCTCACAAGGAGGAGGAGGAGGGTGAAGATCAGGGGAGCAGGTAATGGCTGAAGTGGGTGTCTGCTCACTTCTGTAGAGGAAACTGCTCCAGAACAAAGTACATGACACAATGGGAAGTAAAGGGATTGGATAAAAAATGCAAGTTGGAATCTTGGAAGAGGCAGCCTGCAACAAGCACAGGAGTGCAGATGTGCCCACATCAGTGTGGTTTGATTCCTCCTCCTGCCTGCAGTGATCTGTGTCAGGTCTGTACTGCAGATGGAGCCACAGGCTCAGTTTCTGCCTGCCTGCGGAAGAGTTTCCCTAGGTGATCACTGCCCCAAGGGGAGCGAGGCAGGAGCAGCGCTGAGGAACAGCCAGGGCCAGGGGCATCCCTCAGGAACAGCCTCTGGGAACTTCAGGAGTCATCCCAAGCGTCCAAGCCAGAAGGATAACTTCACAAGAGAGTGACCAAGGCTGGAAAAGTATTTAAAGTCAAGGATGTGAATTCATAGCTTAATTCTTGTGTTCCAGGTGGTGGCCAAAAAATACCGCAACTTCGAGATTCCCAAGGAGATGACAGGGATCTGGAGATACCTGACAAATGCTTACAGCAGGGATGAGTTCACCAACACCTGTCCTGGAGACAAGGAGATTGAAATAGCTTACAGTGACGTAGCCAAGAGACTCACCAAGTAACCAGCACTTGCAGAGGACCAGGTCCTGCATATCCCGTAACAATGCTTCTAACAGACTGCTCTTTTCATATCAATAGCAATTGTTTTTTGCATGAACTCGCAGTTACTCCAAGTCACGTGGATAGACCAGGTACAGTAATTACCTAAAGTTTGCAGACTTAATTACAGGCTTGTTTTTCCTGACCTCCTCTCACAGCCTTTGAGTATGATCGATGCAGTCGTGTTCCCGTTGCACTGGGGTGACTCTGGATTCTTCAGTATGAAGGGTTGGCTTGCCCCTGCTGCTTTTCTCTGTAAACATTTAGTCTATGATTTGTCCAGGAATTGGTTTAGGATCCTGTCTCACTGTATGGTACAAGGAATATTTATGTATTTTGGAATTTATTGCTTTTCCAGAAGATCTGTACACACCCGTCATGCCTGTGACACATTGAACTGTACCTGCTTGTCTATCCTATTTACATAGAGAAGGGAACTTAGTATCCAAAAGAGCCATTTGCAAAATATTTGGCGATGTTTTGTTGGTTTGTTTTGTTGTGTTTTTTAAAAATTTCTTGGATTTGAAGTCATAGTAATGGTTGAGAATGGACTTGTGTCAACCTTGGATTTGAATTACCTCAGCATCAGAGAAGTTTGAATCCAGGCTTGAGAGCTGGGGCAGGAAGCTCAAAGCTCAGAGTTGATGTTTATTGTGTCTTCAAGAGCTTGAGGAGATTTAAACACCTGCATTGTATGAATTTTGAGTTGCAGCAAACAAATAATTGTCAGGATTTTCCATTAGGAAACAACAGAGTTGGAAGCTGCCCTCTGTTCACCTTAAGAATTGCAAGTGGCTTTCTTTTTGGTAGTTAAGAGCCTTTTTGATTGTATAGGTATTTTTGGTGATTTTTACTTAAAAATCTGTTCTGTCATAGCCCAAATCCATGGAAACTGTAGTGTCCTAACTCTGGGTGGGGAATAGCAGTGCAATGATTAGTGATGCAAAATGGACTGAGAGCCATGAAATGGGAACTTTTTAATGCCCTTTCTTCTCTGAAGAAAGCTAAAGTGACCTTTAAAGAGAACATTTGCCTTAAATGATAGTAGGGTTTTTTTTTCCTGAAAGGAAATCTTGGGATTTTGTAAAGAAATGGTGGTGGAATCCAGTCCTTTCCATTGAATTTATCCCAGTTGTTTTTGTGCACCTGGACTGCAGTTTTGCATACTCATAATCATTGCACTACTATGCATAATTCTTTTTACAGCAACACTGAGGAATAGCACTACAATTTTTTTAAAAGCAATTTTCAAATGTTTCTAAACCAGGGAATAGTTTTCTTGTTTAAAATTAATGGTTTTGATGCACGAAATAAACTGCTAGGTTATTTTTAAAAGACCATCATAAACAACTCCAAAGAATGCTAGACTTATATGCCTATTTTTTTGTAAAGATACTTTTATATTTAACTGATTTTAGAAGCTGGAAAGTGCTATTCCTGCTAGGTTGTTTTTGGAATATTTAACATTCTGCAATAACGTGGAAATGCTCACACAAACACTTTTATACACTAAATTTTTTTTTTTTTTTTTTTTTTTGGTAAAGCACTGGCTTTCTGAAAACCAGCCTGACTTTTCTAAGCATCCTGCTTTTGCTACTTTATGTACCCATGGAGTTAGTTGGACATAGAAGAGGTAGAGAACCAGATCCATATTTGTATACCTGGCTTGTGGTGCCTTGCCTTCCTAGAGCTAGAATTCCAATATAAAGGCACTTAGCAATCCTGTCACATCTCTTTCAAAGGCAACTCTCTTAGATACACTTAATCCCTGTTCTGATTTGTTACAGGAATGTTTAAGCACAGAGGGAAATCCTGGGGAGGGACCTGGGAGGAGAACCTTGACTGCAGCCCTTTAATAATTACTCTGTTCTAATGTCATGTTCCCCTCCTGAATAAAGCTCCTCAGCCATAAGGATCCTCTGTAGGGCTTCAGTCTCTGCTACAACGTGACATCTAGAAAAAGGAATGACTTTTTTATTTAGAGAACAGCATTTTTAATGCCACATGGGGTGAAGAAACCCCAAACCCAACCCTCCTTGGTTTGGTGCTCTTGGCCACCACAGGGTTCACAGAGCTGTAGGAAACACGTGATTGTGGGCATATCTTTGTCAAGTTTTCAGCTCTCCTTTCAAAAACGGATCAGGATGGCCCTTGGAAGTTGTGTTGATGGGGTTGTGGAGTCAGGCTGTTCTCCCTTTCCCAGGGAATCATCCTTGAGTGCAGAGAGCAGGGCACCCACAGCTCCTGGGGTGCTGCAAGCAACCCCCACCTCCCTCAACGCCAGCTCAGGCTTCTTCTGACATAATCCATTCCCTCTGCTGTTCAGGCAGCCTTCAAACCGTTCCCCTTCTCCCTCAGTGATTTAGTTGTGTCTGAGAGCTTGTAAACAGAGTTCAAGCTCTGTCTGTGACCAGCGGCTTCCTTATCTCAGCACACAGGAGCCTTTCCCTCGGAGGTGGAATTCCAATGAGCACCAGCTTGGCATGGTAACTGTCCTGGGTGTCTCTCAGGCTTCCTGCTGCAGTTTTGTTGTGGCAGGAGCTGCCCAGCCCCTTCTGGCTGGGGAGGGAGCAGGAATCTGGTGGAGAGGAGCAGCTCCAGCTCCGTAGGTGATCCCTGCAGAGCAGCGGGGAACGGCAGCGTCTGGTGTGGGCAGAGCACTTTCATCTGGCCCCAATCACCAGCTCCACACTAATTAAAAAAAGCCCTTTCATAACTATGTAAATTCTTGACTTCTGTCAACTTGTTTACAATCTGATCTTTAAATGCATTTTTAATTTCATCAAACAGCAATTAATCTACCCCCTGTTTAAATTTAAAATGCTGCTTCTAGCCCCTTCTCCAATTTAAAAACAGCAGTTACTCTTTCAAGTAGGCATTCCAGTTTGCAAGTTGGTTGCATGTATTAGCATGCTGAATAACTTACTTTATTCTCAAGCTGAAATATGCTGAAATTCGCATTAAAACAGGTGACTTGTGTATTCCCTGAACACAAGGGGAAAATCCATCACCTGCACCCTGTTTTTGTGTGGGAGAACAGATTATCCTAGGTGCATTATTATTTTATTTTTTTCCCCCCTTAACAAAGCTTTCCTTCTTGAGGAGATCCCTGCTGTGGAAAGGCTGCCTGTGGAACAAGAGGCGTGTGGGACTTGTGGAACAATTCCAGCCCCTCCACAGCTTCCCTGTCCATCCCTTCCCTGGATGTCCCACAAGGGCAGCCCCAGCTTTCAGCTTTGCATTTTCCCATAAAATCGGTGTTTTCTCCACACTGGGCATGTCCAAACTGATCGAGAGCTGCGTGCAGCTCCCTGATAAGGAGAGAGATGTAATCAAATTTTTATGCTAAAGCAGCAAATTAGCATTTGGTATCAAAGGAGCACAGACAGGAGTAAATGGGAGCTGCTGGAGCCAAACCCACTGATGCCTATCTGGGTGCAGAACAAAAAGTGGGGAAGTGCAGCCAACTCTGCTGAGCTCCCTTTGCCACTCAGAACCACCTGAACCCATCCTGTGAACGTTTTTCAGGAGAAGGCTGAAACCCAAGTGAGAAATGCTCCAACTCCCTCAGAACCTGTGCCACCAACTCCCGAGTTTTGTTTCTGGAGGGGGTGGGAGCAGGATGAGGGGATGGAGACTCCCAAGACAGGACATCAAGGATTGGAGCATGGTTTGCAGAAATACTTGAAGAGTTGATACAATTTGTTGTAGTTTGCTTATGTCTTTCACTTTCTGGAACATCTTTTACAGATATACCAGTATACTGCTGGCAGCTATTGTTAAATAAAATTATATTTTCACTACCAAGCAGATCTTTCTGTTATTTCTGAAGATTTCGTGTGTAATCCAGGACTGCAGGTTGATGGGCTGAGCTGCATAACACAACTTAGTAATTATATTCTCCATTTTTGGCTTTTGGGTTTAGGGTTTTTTCAGTGGTGATGTGATTTAAGGCAGAATTAGTGTTATTTCTAACACTATTACCAGCTGTGGTGCCCCTGAAAATTTAGAACTTCCTTAAAATTAAGAACAAGCTGAGAAATAATGACTTTCCACAATTTCTTTAGGAGAAGTGAGGTGATTTATTTCAGAATTTCAGTGGAAAGTTAAGAACAGATCTTGGTAGCTTGCTTTTCTATGGAATTCAGGTTTTTGGAGATTTGTGAGATTTGATTTAAAAGACATCCAAAAAAAAAAAAAACAACTCAACTTTGGTTTAACTCTATCCCCTGAGTGGCCACTTCAGGAGTTGAGATTGAATTGATCCCATTATAGAATTACTGGATTTCAGAGCTCTTGTTCTGAGTTTCAGATGGGTTTCTTTGCTGTCTTTGCTTTCAGATAAGATGCAGCAGCTCTGGCAGTACCAAAGTGTTTTAATCTGGGTTAGTGTTTTTCCAGGACTGCCAAAAGCTGTGACTGAGCAAGCTGGGGTCGTGATGGCAACGTTTGAAAGAAATCACAGCCATGGAGGTGAGTTAGTCATCAGGTAATTGCTAAAAACCTTCATTTCACCACCCAGAGCCTGGGCTGTAGCTGGTGAGCAGCGGAGGGGAGCAGCCCTCCCCACAGAGCCTCCTGCACTGGGCCTGCCTAAATTTGGGATGAGCTCTCCAGGCTGATGCTGGATGCTTTCCAGAGCTGGGAAAAGAGAACTCATGATTCTTTGACTCAAGAGAAGAACTGCTGTGTTCTTACCACTGGACAGGGAGATGAAAACAGTTGCTAAACAAAGATCAAACATGTGAACTTTATAAATAAACAAACAAAATTGATGCTAAGGGACGTCTCAGCTCCTTTGCCTACGGCAAAGGGCTTGGCAGGACCTAGGGAATGACTTTGTCAGTTTGCGCAGAATTGTTATTTTAAAGAGGCTGATTAAAGTGATACTGCTCCTCTTAATGAGTCTGAAAACATCCCTGTCCATGTGGGGGGAATGTGGGGGAGAGGAGAAATCATTTATGGGGCTGAGCTCTGGGTGCAGAGCACAGCAATGTTCTAAATCTAAATGATCCTCAGTGATTAAAACTGCTGATTGGGGCAGCCAGACAGCGAAGGCAGCAGGGCTGAGAGGCTGCCAGGGAGGGAGCTGGGGCAAGGCTCAGCAGAGGGGCTGCTTTGATCTGCTGTGCTTTGCCAGCCCTGGGCCAGGCCTGCCCACAGGAGATGGGACCTGGACCATGCAGGGCGTGCCCAGGGTCTCACAGAGGGCTGGTGCTTGCGGTGAAGCAGGAGCAGACAGATGTTATTTGTGGTTTTCTTTCTTCTGCCCAGAGTGCAGAGGGACATGAACTGCTGTGGGTCAGTCCTGGCTCCCCACTCCAGCATCAGGGACCCTCCATCCTCTGCAGCTTCTCCTTCTTTTCTGCCTCGCCTCCATGTCTCTGCTGCCTCTATCCTGATGTTTCTGATGCCGAGCAGCCTCAGCCTCCTGCAGGGAGCCCAGCAGCTCCAGACAGCTTCTCCCAGCTGCTGTGTGCACACAGCTCTCCCAGGGGACCTCCAGCTCCTGGATACTCCTGCCATTATGGAATGCCAGGAAAGAGATGACGACCCCCCAGTTGTCCTCCTGAACCATTTCCTGCCTGAGGCTTTGAGCTGCATTAGAGGCTTTGCTGCCTTTAAACACAGAGCAGAGGAGCTGGGCCCTGTGAACAGCCACGTGGAGCTCCTGCACAGCTGTTGGAGGTTGTTTTTGGGGTAAAGTTCTCTTTGGGAAGAGCCTAATGAGGAGTGGGATGAATTGGATCCCTGGAGTTGACTTTAGAGGCCATGAGTTCATTTCTTGTCTGTGTCAGGCCGGCTGTTCCCATTTGTTGTGAAAATGTAGGGTAATTAAAATGTAGGGTGAACTATTCCCCTTTCCTTCATTGGGTGTTTTCTCATTTCATTTTTTTTAATTTCAGAAATTCAAAGCAATCATTTCCTTTGGAAGGTTTTGGTGGTATTTCCAATGTGTAGCTACAATCACCTCCCTCTGAGAGCTGAGGGGGACCCTTTGGAGGGCAGAGCTTGGCTGCTGAGCCTGCCCTGGCCCAAACCCTCATGTGTGGAGTCCCAGCACTGCTGCACCTCCTGTCAGGAGGCTCCTGGGGTGAAGAGGGGACCTGAGGTTACTGCCCTGGAGGCTGCTTGAGGACAAGGACACGTGCTCTGAGGAAACTGGCTTTTCTTAGCAGTGCTGCCCGCAGTGCCTGCAGTTTATCAGCTCCTCTGGCTGCTGGCAGCAAAGCTCCAGCAGGGTCCCAGAGCTGTGTGAGCACCCAGCCCTGCTCTGTGCCTTGCAGCTGGGCTTTTCCATCCAGCCTGCCTGCCTTGGTCTGCATCTGTGGATGTGTTTGGAGCTGCAGAATGGAGCCTGTGCTGTTCTTTCTGTCACTCAGGGCACCTGGGCAACCTCAGCTGCTGTTTGGCTGCCAGGTGGCATCACCTGTGGCACAGGAGCCAGGATGCCCAGGCAAGGACAGAGGGCAGGAAAGTGCTGGGAGCTTTTGGGGATTTAAAGTGTGGGCAGGCATGTGCTGCTTCAGCTACTTCTGAATTTTAATTTCCTCAGGCAATAGCTCTTATAGGTTCTGGGAGTTCCTGCAGTCTGTGTTTGGTTGTTTTTTAGGGCAGTGGTTGACTCTTCATCTTGCTGCACCCACTCACCCAAGAATCAGATCCACAACAGCACAGGAACATTTACTGCAGGCTCCATGCATGGGCTTGATGGGTTTGAAGTGTTCAGGGTGAGATTTCTTCATGGGGCTTTAATTTCCCAGCTTTTTGTGACCTTGGAGCCAGAGTCAGCAGCCAAGGAGGAGAGGGAAATAATGCTGCTGTGACCTTTGGGTGAATTGTTCTCTGTGAGGTTCCTTGAGGAGAAATTTTGCACACTTGCAGGCAGCTCACAGGATGGAGATTGTCCCTGGCTCCCTCCAGGCACCAGAGTGTGACAGCCCAGCTCAGGCACTCTGAGATCCTTTTGTCCCGGCAGGCAGTGAAAGATGCACATGAGCAAAGCTGCTCACAGCGTGACTTGCCCGAGGGGGCCGTGATCCAGAGGCAGCAGTGGCCAAACTCCCTTCTCAGGCTCCTTCTGGCCTTCCCCTCCAGCCCAGACTTCCCTGATGAGCAGATCTGGCTCATCTTTCCCATGAAACCTCTGGGATTGTGGTGGTGCTGCCCTGCCTGAGCCAGTTGGCATTTCACTGTCTGGGGGTGATGAGAAACCTGCTGGGGGCTCCTGAGGGCAGCTCCTGCTCCCGAGCTGAGCTGCAGGTGCTTGACTCTGTCCCCAGTTGGTTTTAAAGCTGTGCCTGAGGAGGGAGAGGCCGCTGGAAGCTCTGGATGGATGGAAGAGAAGGATCCCGAGTATCCTAACGCGACTCGGTGTCTCGGCAGCCTTTGAAGTGCTCTCCTGACATCCCTCCCGGAGCAGCACCTTTCATCCCTCGCCAGCGCTTCCCCAGCTGGAGCCATGAAAGGGAAACTACAGAAGCCATAAATCCTGGCTGCTAACATCTCCAGTGGGGAGATTTCCCAACGAGCCCGAGCTGCCGCAGAAGATAAGAGAGGGCCTTGAATCCCAGGCAAGTCGGGGCTGGTTCCCGGGAAGAGCTGAGCTCCACGGCATCGTTGGGGGTCCCTCCGGCTTCCCTGGGCACAGGAGCTGCCTCTGGGTGCCCTGGGGTGAGTCCCCGGCCTGGGGCAGAGCTCTCCAGCCCTGACCCCGGGGCAAAGCTGTGCCTTGGATGGGACAGCCCCTCTGCACGCTCCTGCCGTGGTCTCGCTGCTCCCAAGGGCTGATTTTATTGTGCCTGCACGAGCTGGGCTGACAAAGCCCTGCTTCAGCAGAACCCCTGTGCAGAGAGAACAGGAGGGAATCCAGCACTCCTGACCCCCGGGGTGGCTGCTCTGGCCACGCTGGCTGGAACAGGGTGAAAGGTGAGGGAGAGCGGCCGGAAGGCTCCCGGCTTTATCAGGAGTGTTGGCTCAACAGAGGGGAAAACCAGCCTGAACTGCCAGACAGCAAATGATGGTATTGCTGGGAATGTTTCCTGGAGTGAATGGGAACGTTGTGAGTGGGCAAGCTGGAGTCAGTGCTGGACTCTGGTTTGATTTACAGCCTTGCTGTGCTGCTGATCCGTGCCCAGCCCAGGGTGCATTTCTTGGCTCTGCAGGATGTGCCTGCGCATCAAACTCTGCCAGGGGCTTCCTCAGCTTTCCATGGGAGCCTTTTCCTCGTGCCCCCACAGCACCAGCCCAGTGAATCCTCTTGTAAACTCAGGCCAGGCAGGATGGGTCAGCGAGGCTCCAAGTCCAGTGGCACAGCAGTCCCGAAGGTCTGGGGCTCTGTTTTCCCATTGGCATCACTTGTTCCCACATCAGGAGAGGGAAAACCTGGTCCCTGGAACGCTGGGTGTGCTGTGGGCACAGCTGCCCTGCAGCTCTCCGAGGGGAGGCGGTGGTCACAGTGGGCTGGGAGCTCTGAGGGAAGCTGGGGCTGCCCCAGAGCCGGGAAATGGGGCTCAGTGAGACCCCAAGGCCTGGGGAGAGGCTGTGGGGTGAGGGACACGGAGCAGCCCCCGTCTGGCCTCAAGCACAAGACCTGCAAACTATTCCTGTGCCCTTGGCTTTGCTCTGCTCGCTCTCCCCAGGCATTAAATCGAGTCTCTGGCTGATCCTCCTTTGATTCCCTTGCTCTGAAGCCCCCAGCAGCAGCTCCAGCTGCCCTTCCATGGGGCCCTTGCCAGGTTTCCCTTCCCATCACAGGCGAGGGCAGAGCGGATCCGCTCTGGAATTTGGCGCTGACACCCAGACAA